CGCACTTTAATTTTGTAGTTGAATAGCAAACAAGTGACCCAGAGCCTCTTGCATCGTGCACTGTTTTTTTCTTTTTTTACATCTGTTTTCCTTGCTTTTGTGTCATGTCTCTGTTTAGCTTTATTGACAAAACAATCTGTGTCTAATATTCAAACAACATCTGTAAAATGTATTATTAAATTATGTTGGAAGAAAAAGCAGAACAATTCTATGAAACCCTATGACCCCTATTGATTTTTAGATCACAGAAGTTGAAGGGATAATTTGTGAATGTTTTAACATTTACATCTAAACAGGTACCTATATTTATAGAATCTTTGATTATTTGTAAAAGTATTTGCTACATTATTACCATAAGTCAGAAAGAAACTTGACCTTTAACAGTTGAATCTGTTTATTATAATAAAGGAGATCTTATTTTTAAAAAATAAGTTTACATTTTTACTTGCCAGTGGCATAAATCTCTAAGGATAACATACTTTTTTTTCCCACTAGTAATAAATGGGAAGTGATGCCTGAATGCTTTGCAGCTTTGAAAGCAATAAATGAAGTAACTAGGAAAATCTGGTATGAGCACTAAATCTAAGAAATGTAGAGTACGATAGTTCTGAACAGTGTCATCTTGGCTGCTAGGATGCAACCTGGAATTTTATATACCCTCTTGATGGAGAATAATTTTTCTCTATATATAAATACTGTATTTCACATACACTATATATTTTGCACCTAAAACCCATATTGCCTTCTCAGAGCATAAAGGGATAATCACTTAATATCAGGCCTTAATGGGAAAGTGTTTGGATGAGGAGTAGTAAACAAAGAAACTGTAAAATGTATTCAATACACCCTAGGCCAAAACTCTGCTGAGGCAGGAGGTGACTGAGGCCTCCAGTAAGTACAACACAATCACAAGAGATAAGTTTTCATCACAGGGAATTCCCAGGTCTGCAACACTGGTGTGATCACGTATAAGGGAATTTTTATCTGACCATTCTACACTCACATTTTCAATATAAAAAAAATTAAGTTGGTCTATTCAGGAGAAAATCAACCAAGTATTGATTGTGTGTGTGTATGTGTGTTTTCTGTAAAGTTCTACTTAAACACTTAAAGGTTTAAATAACCATCTAATCTCAAAATTTAAGATGATTCTACTTAAATTACTAAAACATTTAGCATATTGATAATGTTTGCACTGCTGATATAACACAAGTATTTGTTACAACCACAACAACAATAAAAAAGCAAAAAGACAAAAGCCCCTGATGCTATTATTTATCATTTTTGGATACAATTATAATTGGGAGCAAGGAACCAAAGAAGGAAGAATACACAAATCTATGGTGCATATTATGTTTCAAAAACGATTACACTTTTAAACCTAAGTCTACCACAACATAGTAGATTGAAATATTTAGGCAACTAGTTATGGAGGTTGATTTTTAAAAAACAAGCAATTACATCAACTACTTAGATAATTTATGTAAAAATATTTTACTCAAATTATTTACATAATTGCCTCAATTCTCAAAAAATTTATTGGCATAGACTTGGCCTACAATGTCACATCTAATAAATATCACATTCCATCCTAGGGCCCACATGCTGTAAGTACTGATGCCAACTGTTTTAAGATTCTTTCTCACCATTTTTATTCTGACAATTGGATCAAAGTAAGAGTTACAACAAGACATTCTTTTGTCCAGATTTTCTCTTAAGTAATCAAATCAGTCTTATTGTTTTACTTTTAAGTTCTCTCTTTTGCCTTTCTCCCCTCAAATCCCATGTGCTTTAGCCTTAGCCACCTGAGGCAGGTAGTATATATTACTATGTCAATTAGAGAAATGTAAAATTAGTTCAGTGATGAAGTGAAAGAACCATTAAAATGTAGCAAACGTCTTGTCTATTTTTCAGTCAAAGCCTAACTTAAAACTGCATCAGCCAGGGTTTCTATGACACTCTAACAACTAGACATGAGTTTATATTTTTCACTTACATATTATATATTTTGATACATTATGTTGCTGCCAATAATTATGACTGATCTACACTCAACCTGCCCTTCAGCATTTTATTGAATTGCATTTCAACAGTGACTCATAGTTCATACAAAAATGTACATGTGTGTTAACAAGTTTTAAGAAATCCAAGAAGGAAGACACAGATGTTTAAATAAGTGAAAGGGAAATGCAGAAATACTAATGATGACATTTTCAAAATTATTACTTTTAGTAGGAAATAACTTTCCTGCTATGTACTGATACTCAGTATAGATAAGATAAAAAACATTTTTTATAAAAATGTTTATAAGCTGGGTGCAGTAGCTCACGCCTGTAACCCCAGCACTTTGGAAGGCTGAAGTGGGTGGATCTCTTGAGCCCCAGAATTAGAGACCAGCCTGGGCAACATAGCAAAACCCCTGCCTATACAAAAGAAAAAAACATTAACAAGGCATGGTGGCATATGCCTGTATTCCCAGCTACTGGGGAGGCTGAGTCAGGAGGATCACTTGAGCTAGGAGTTGGAGGTTGCAGTGAACCATGTTCATGCCACTGCACTCCAGCCCAGGCAACAGAGCAGGACTCGGTCTCAAAACAAAACAAACAGGAAGAGGTTTCCACAAAAATTAATAAACCATTAAAAATTCAAATCAAACATGCTATTGTCATTATTTGTCAAAATGAAGAAAAACGATCTCTCTTACAACTTTTGGTTACTTGAGGGACATTTTCTACAGCAAACAAAGTTGTTAAATGTTGAAACAATTGCAAAATGCAAAGCACTGAGGTGCAAGAAAAGCTACTTCTAACTCCATCTATATACAAGTAGAGAGAACCCACACACTGCACAAAATGACAGTTAAGCACAGAATTGTGTTTCTGTCCCAAATAACTAAGTAAAGGCTATTTTTAAGTTATTTACCTGTGCAGAATTGAATAGCAGTGTCAAATTTAGGGTAAAGTCTGCATATAATTTAAAATTATTTTAGAGTGTGAATTAAAACTTTTAAACATCCTTTCTCTCCCTTCTGGTTACAAAACTGAGAAAGTCGAATTATGATCATTGATTAGGAAGATTGCTCTCTGGCAGAGATTGTGCATAGAATCTAGAAAACTGTATGTGTGTGTATATATATATATATATATTGCTTGAAGTCACAAGAATGCCTTCCTCTTCCTGCATTCACAGGAAATATCCCATAATAAGGCTGTCCACCCATAGTAAGCAACTTGTACTGGGACTTGTTCTCCGGTAACTGTGTTTATGAGTGGAGTTTGCTAGCAACCCTGCAGAGGAAGAGAAATGGCTCACAGGATAGATCCCCTGAATGATAGCACTTTTCATTTCTTAACTAGAGAGCTTATCCTGCCACTCCTTCGCCCGCAAAAGGAACACTTCCCAGGGAAATGTGGACATTTGTGCAGCCTCCATTGTATTAAAACTGTCTCAACATCAGCTTTAAGTTTTAAAATACAGATATATGAATTTAGATGTGCGTGCAAAATTGATGGTCTCCCCTATAATGTCGTCCAGAACCATTGGAAAGTTCCAATATGTAGTATTAACAGCTTTGAAAATTAAGACACAGTAGCAGGTAGAAATAGGTAAACAAAAAACCTCAGCAGCCACACACCTCCTAGTAACACATTTAGATGTAGTATGCCTTTGCTTGGTTTACCATCCACTGATGGAAAGGGCTGCAAAAATTGATCTCTCAAGGCTGCAGTAAGGTCATAGAAATTGATAACTCTTACAAGCAATGCTTATGTGAGTCTGTCTGTGTCTTGCAGATAGTGCACTTTGTAAATTAATCCTCCAAAGGCAAATATATTGTAAGTAGCTTGTTATCTCTAAAATACTAAATTGAAGAATACATGGGATTATATTGACAGAAATTACATTTTCTGTAATGGGCTTTAATATATCTGAAATCTCTCCCAAAGGCTCCCAGGCTCTCTAACAGAGACGGTCTGTTAATGTAGGTGCAATAGACATCAAGAACAAATTTATTCACCAAAATGGATTAGGCCATGTAATCAGAGATTCTGTAATATTAATTTTTGACACTTATTGAATAGAAAGAAATACTTCTCTCTGCAAACTGGCATTCCTAGTTCTCCCCTTCCCCAGCCCAGGCTTTGGGCCTTTTCTGGATTTTACTTCAAAGAGGATAAGGTTTCCCCATCATAAACACTAATCTAAAAATATTAGGACAATTAATTAGATACACTTACTTTTGGAGGATATTGGATTTCGATACCCTTCAAATATGACACTAGCCCTGGGTGATTATATGAAACCTGGCTTTCAGCACATTCACAAAGGGTAATAAATCATACTTTCTCAAAGTCTCATTGCCACACTGCTGTACACTGAGTCAGAATATTGTTGGCTGGCACTTTGTACATAATCTCAGCTTTGCCCCACATCAGGAATTTACACTTTATTTAGAAACAGTATTGCACAGTCCTGAGATGCCTCACGTTTGGAATAGCCTCAAAGAGAAACATAAATAATTTCTTCCTTTCAGTATTTGGGAGATAACAGTAAAGGAGAGACTATCCTTGAATGCATAGCCCTAACAAAATCTAACTGAATTTAGTTATTCAATGAATTTAAACCTGATTGATATGTGATGGTGGATTTTCTTGTTTTGTAGAAAATAGGATGATACGACTCTATCGATTACTCTGAAGGAGGGGAAAAAAGCCATAGAGAGAGATACATTGACAGAGCCATAGTGAATGTGAATTACACACATACTTATACTATGCATAAAATTGTCAACTTATAAAGGAGGTAGAAGGCAATACAATGTTTTATTTCCCATACTAGCAAATGTTCTCACATATCAGTCAACAGTTTGTTTTCACTTTTGGATCAACAAGCCACCAGGGAGAGCAGTGGCAACTGGGTGTGTCTTCTTAATGCAAAACATGAGCTGCAGGTTGCCAGAGGGGGAAACAGATTGTGTGTAGACGCAAAGCCAAATTACTTACCAATTGTTCACTTGAAGGATGGTGAGTCCTGTGTCTTGTGCCAACTGCTTTTTCTGTTCTTCAGAAGGGTAAGGGTGCTGAAAAAGAATTAAAAAGATATGCGTGCATCAGGCAATATTTAGGGCATTTTGTCAATAGCCTAAGTGTCTCATGAAGTCTATAATTAAAGGTAAAAATGCTGAGGTGTGTCACTCTTATTAATGGAATACTACATCATCTAATTAATGGCAGTAAAAGACAAGCCAATTACAAAGATTAGTGAAGTGTATAAATAGCTACTTAGGATACTTGCAGAACCTTGATACTGAGTTTATCCTTTAACAGGTTTATTTGTTGCAAACACAGAAAGTTTAGTATGATCTTCACTGTATTTTATAGGATTAAAATAAGGACAAGCCATTCGTTACCATCTAAAAGTAAACTGCCCTGATTTAATATATTCATTGAACCATAAATTTCTAAAGTTGACCCACAATCTCAGCTGAGGTCCCCATAGTGACATTCTCCCTCTAAAACACCATATTGCCAGATGCAAATCTCAAAACTAAAGTGGGTGTTATTAAACACACACACACACACACACACACACACACACACACACACACACACACAATTCATTTTAAGTCTTCAGAAAAAAAAAAAAAATTCACCAATGTTGGTTTCCATATCTGAATGTCAACACATGCTGAGATTCTGAACACAGGCCAATATAAGGTCAAAGACCAGCATATTTTGCATGTTAAGAACAAGCCCAGCTATGTTCTTCAAGAGTCAGAGTAGATAAAAGTATTACAGGATTAGATAATAAAGTGAAATTCATACCTTCCTGTAAGAACGTTTGGAATTCTACTGAAATTAGTTTTGGCACAAATGCTTTCTGTTCACTAATCAAATACATCTAAATTTGAAATTCATATTTCTAAAGCTTAGGGGAGGAGCTGAGGATGTGGTTTCCATCTACAGAGACATTAGCTTGCTTGAAACACCACATCTCAATAAATTATCCCAAGATAAAATTCTTCTGAGAGTCAACCCTCTATTGAATGGAAACCCTCATATGAATAGAAAAGGGCACCCCCAACCCTTAATTTAACTACCTGTGCCATTGAAACTAAATTCTGGTCTATTGAATGCTAATTAACACAGCTTTTAATTTAATTAATAATGTCTGATTAGATGCTAAAAAGGCTTGTTAATGACCACTTCAGTACTCTTATATGTAAGTTTAAATATGCTCTATATCTATACACAGGGGATTTGTTTGTGAACAGCACAGAGATCACAATTTTTCCATAAGCATTGTCTATGATTGTCACTTAATCAATAAATACACAATTAGAATAAGGCTTTGCTTTCATGGAATATAGCGCCTTTCTCTAAAGAGCTCCAAGTATATTACAGACAGGATGGTAATTAATCCCCATTATATCCCTTTGAGTAACATAAATGGAATCTATCATCCATTCTGTTTTACAGGTGAGGAAACTGGCCAGGGAAAGAGATGGCCAGAGGCAGACATAAGTCAGTGATATTTCCTGCTTCCCTTCCAGTGCCTAAGCCTCACCATGACCAAAGGATGTAGCAGATGCCTTTCATAATCCTCATTCATGTCTCCTGTGAAATAACCTTCAGACTGGTTACCATGGCCTACAAGGCCTGCCACCATCCAGCCCTGCCCACCTCTCAGATTTTGACACCTTCTTCTCACCCACTTCCTACTCCTCTACCCAGCCACACCATCCTTCTTTCTGTTTTCCTAACACCACCAGCTTTTCCCATCACTCGGGTTCTTATTCCAATGTCACTTTCAGCTCTCAGCTCAAATGTTCAGCTTTACCCTCCCCACCGCCCAGCACGCCGCCTTATCACACTCACATTCATCTTTTTCTTATTTCCCTAATAGCAAGCATCTCTCTCTGAAGCACCTGCTTTAATTATTTATTTCCTTGTTGGTGTGTCTTTTCCCACTCATCTACCAACGCTACTAAACCCATTGCCTTGCTTTCTCTCTATCCTTGCTCAAAGCCCAGACTGGGACATAACAGAAAATCACTAAATATTTGTGGAACAAAGGAATGGCTGTACCATGCCATGACAGACACTCTCCACTCAGAGGCAACATCAAAATGTATCATAAAGCAGAAGCAATTCAATTTAAGATCCATGACACTACCTTTGTTGCTTTATTCACAAAAGTGATGTCGACCCACTTTCTTCAAATACAGGTATATAAACCTCATAATAGCCTAAGATCATAAGTGACATTGGTGTTACTCAACAGAATGCCAGCCATTGCAACCAAAGTCTCACGACTGGCTACTGAGCTCAAAGCAATCCATTACCCTAAGGTTTAAAACGTAACTCCCACTGTACAAAGGTTTGGCCCACAGTACAAACCAAATGAATTTCTTATCCCATGGATAGAACGCTGAATTATAGCTTGATATACAGTAGTTCTATGTCTATACTAGTTGAAGAATTGTACATAATATAAGTGACTCTATTAGACTGTATAAATGATGCTGCCACTCATTAACTATAGGACTTTGAACTACAGACAACTTTTCTTATCCTCAATTTTGTCATCCAGAGTTCTAAGATCTATTGAGGTTAAAGATTACCCAGGCTAGCAGTTCTTACAGTATTGCAATGCCAGAAGACAAGCTCAATTTTGAAATATGCAAATATTAGCATCCCACCATTGGCACTATGCGCCATATAAAGTTGTACACTGAAGTACACAAGTAACTTCCAATCTATAACATTTTCTGTAAAATATATTTGCTGACAGTTGTCCAGGTCTTACAGAAATCACTTTCAGGGATTTTTAATAGAATTAATAAATATGTCAACAGTCCCTCTTTAGTATAGCCAGATGGCAAAACTTTTTGCCCTGTCTTGTTAGTTGTGTCTTAATATTGTGACCAGAACTGGATAAAAATTATTATTTATGCCATTTATCTTTAGTTACTTTGAAAATTGAAAATTGTCACAGTAATTTATTTTCCTGTATTTTCAAGAGTACTTTTGCATGCCTGTTTGTGAGCAAGTTTTACAAAGATTCTTACAAAGCAAATGGAATTCACATTTTATTTATGCAAGTGATGTCAGAAAAATTCTCTTTGAATCATTACTATTACCCGGATTACTAAAGCTTCAAAGGGTAGTAATATGGTTCTCAAAATTTCAGTGCAAATTTTGGTTGTTTCTTCACATCATGTAGTTTCTGATTTTATAATTTAAATATAAAATTAGAAAGTTCTACCCTTTTATTCCTCTGTCACTTTTCATGTGATCTGAGTTTAAGTAATTGGAACAAACTGTGTCTAATTTCGTGCAGCATAATTCCTAGGCAGCCTCAAGCTACGGAGGCTCAGCACTCTGTCTCCATTAAGAAATTTTTAGTTGTTCGGGATATAAATACTTTTTTAAATAGAAACGAAAGAGATTGGACAAATTAAATGTCACAATAATCTGGCCATTGTTAAGAGTAGAAAAAGGTATCAACAAAATTCCTAAACCCTTGTCTATGGTAGGTCAACTGAATGTTTTTCTTTTTCTCATAGTTCTTGGCCTTAGTGTCCCACAAACTTTCAATTCCCTGAGAAAAGTCTATAATTGCTAGAATCACATGAAAGCTGTGACTTCATGTAGCTAATCCTTAGCCAGCCAAAAATTCACAAAGAAGTAGGCTTTTAAACTGAAACCCAATACATTTCAATATCTTAAATCCTATGCATCTTTACTAAATAAGCTTTTTGTGGACAGTATGAGTTATTCTTTCGTAGACTTAAAAAAAAGTGACTTGACAAAAACCCAGCATGCCACAGGCATGGCTGCTGAAAAAAACATTCAAAGCCCTGTTGCCTTCTACCCACAGGGCTAGTGAGGCCATGCAATGGGCAAAGGCAGACATCATTTTGCAAAAGAGATAAAGAGTCATCTCTGAGAAGCGCCATTTTTAGGGAGAAAATGGGAAATTCATTCCAAACCTTTGCAACTAAAGGTCTATGTCACTCCTTGCCATTCTCCCGAACACCTTTGCTGTTATTGCATCTCAAGGACACAGTTTAAGAAAGATCAGTAGGTTCTTGTGAAGGAAAGATGGATGGCACTTCCCAGATATACCAATCAACCTAATCACTTCGGGATATCAAAGCAAATTTGACCACAGTCCCATAGACAGTGAGGGAGACCTGCCTTTTTGTGTACATTAGCCTTATGCTATTATCTCTTAAAAGCTTAATTATTTGCAAACAATTGATCAAGATGGGAATTTGAGAAAGGATATGCAAGGGCCACTGGGAGAACCGCAACACATTAAGAGAGCAAACAAAATTACCTTTAGATCTTACAATAAGAATTAACGATTGAGAGGGGAGAGCTAGGCAATGCAGTAGCTGCACGGGTTCTTTCTCGAGTGTTTCCCATTTGATCTGCATTAACACCTCAGGAATGAGTGAAAGCCATAAAACAGTGATTATGTATGGGTAAAGCTGGCCCCTCCCTTCCAGCATTAAACCTGCACACGTGTATTAGGCTGGTTTGGCTGCAGAGAGAAGAGATGCTGACCTCAAAGGGAAACTAAGTGGCTTGTGGACAGTGGAACCCCAGCTAAAGGGAATAACTCATGAAATGATCATCCTTATTTCAATTGTCAACACCTTGACTTCTCCTTTCTAGCATAAATCTCTTGCTGAAATATAAACTGCTTGCCACTCTTCATGTGTTTCTGGATCTCGCAGTGACTTCCAGTAATGAACCAGTATAGAGTGATTGCTTAATGACCCAATCAAAGAATAAAATGATCCCTAGGGTAGGATCCTGTATAAAAGAAACAGTTAAAGGATGTCTGAGAAAAATCTAAAAATAGCTTATGTAAAAGTTAAGTCTGAGCTGTCATTTTACCAGCCACAAAGAATAGAAAGTGACAGAAAATGGTGACTTTCTCAAGAAAGTTATGTCTGCACAATTCCAGTGTTATTTCTTGAGACTGGGACTGGAAGGGGGTTTTAAGTTGGTTATCTGGTATTTACAAGTTTACAGTACATTGAGAGAAAGTGTGTTTATTGAAACA